CCCTTTTTTGGCCCCTTGCCCCCTTACTGGCCTTCAAATTAAACCCGAAGGATGCCAGCAGCAGATCTACACACACAATCCGAGATTCACTGCGCACGAAGTCCGAGGACATCATCCTATCCACATAGCTGAAGGTCCAGTACACTCCATTCCACAAGACACAGCTTCCCCACAAGCAGCCGTGATGCAATTGCTATAGACTGCTTGATGGACCCGTGAGAGCACCACCGCCTTCACACGAACAGAACGCCCGGTCATTATAGCCGTATTCGGTGCAATTTCCACTCCAGATACAGCTATAAAGACCGGCGTTCTGTTCGCGTGAACGTGGAAGCTGCACAACTAATGTGTGACAACATGTCCATCGGTTTGTCTATTACCAAAGGAGGACAAATTGCCAGCCACATAACACGTGTTCCTCAGAAGACTACGGACTGTGTCCGAATGCCAACCTCTTAGAAACGCAGAGGATTCAATTAAATTGATCCTCATTCACACTCACTGACGTATAAAACAGGCAGGTAATCAAACATGCAGCATGCTTGATCGGAGCTCCAAAAATTACTCTTGCAGTAATGACTTTCATCGCACCCTAAACCAAGAATTTAATGGTCCCCGTTGGAACTCGAGAACTTGATGGTCCCGGTTGGAACTCGCCCGAGAACTTGATGATCCCGGTGGAAACTGTCTAGCTGCGTGCCAGACTGCACGGAACAAGGCGCAACAAATGGGGAGCAAAATGAACAACTACCGGCTCGTGCTTCTCCCGCGGCAGACTCTACATCGCCTTCATCGTCCACCTCGCCCCTTGCCGGACAGTAACAAGCCGCTATGACTGCACCCTCATCTCGCCACGCGAAGCTGGTGACCACAAGCGTTCTCCTCACTCTCGACTTAAAAACAAACAAACAAACAAACAAACAAACGCACAAACGCACAAACGCACAAAAACAGCCACCACGACTCCAAGAGGGAATTACCGCCTGGCAACCGTCTGGCAAAATGGGACGCCCAGCCTTGTAACACCTCCGCTTATAGCCTATAGCCAATGCCTAGAACCTACTGAACTACCGAGCTAATGGCCTGAGTTCGAAACCCAGCGGAAACACCATAAAGGACTAAGACAGAGTCCTACGTGCCAGGGAATCACACCCAGGGCCCATGAATCACGAAACAACAACGCATGTAGTCGGGTAGAATACATGTAGGGGGGATGTGCCCAACACTACCGCTCCACATGCTACCAAGCATACCTATCTAGCATCTAGTACCTACCCTTCAGCTACCCACCCTCTCACCTCTTCGCCCACCTGCAAATCAGGATACTGGTCACATATTTAAAAAATAAAAATAAAAAATTGTCAAATGCAGAAGCCAACTGAGTCTGAAGAAGACCACAACCCACCGTAGAAATTGCTATGCAGTGCACTGATCAGGATCCCACCTACACTCCTGTCCCTTTCCTTTTGACCCCCACATTTCCCCTCCCACCAGCTCCAAAGAAACACATATGTACAAACTCAGATGCGCTGCACAAAAAAATGTTCGCACCTGTGTGTCCAGAGAACAAACGAAAGTACATCGAAAATACACCCACAGTTCGTACCATCTGTGCCAACACACAAGTCCACATCAGAATGACTGTGCCCCAAACCAACAAGCACTGGTTCATACCTGAAGGGCACCTCAGCAAGCTCGCTCCCACTCAAATCAAGAATATCTGGGGAGAAAAAACAAAAAATCAACAGTGCAATTTCCTATTTGCTTCCTTGGGAAGAAACAAGCTTACAATGAGGGTAGATAAGGAGGCATGGACATGCCCCTGCGGGGGCCGAGGGTGAGAGAATAGGACAAGTTAATGGGGTTGAGAATTTACAACCCTCAGCCTCCAACTGATACCGAGACTCGTTACCGAGTCCTTTGTGAAATGGAAAACATGAAGCTGCGGCGTTCTCAATGGGTGAACATTGGCAGCCACGCGTTTAAGTACTCTAGCATTTTCCATGCCAAACTGTGACATGTGGAGGGAGCGAAAGCCATCCCGTGACAGGACCTAATCTGGTCAACTCCAGATCTACTCTCTTCTCCCTCTCCCTCTCCCTCTCCCTCTCCCTCCGCTTCTTTCTCTCCCACTCTCGATTACTTGTCATGCAGTGCCAAGGCGCTCAGCTACACTTTTCGTTCTGTGTTGTCTTCTAATTTCTAAATTAAAAAAACAACGGCGATTAAGTGCCAGAAAGTACTGAGTTGCTGACAACAGGAAATAATAATGCACAGTTCAATTAAACCCAGGTCAGGGGAGGAAAGGGAGGAACACTCACCGCATGGGACATTGCAGAGATGAGGGTAGAAAAGGAGGCAACAGTAGTTGAACCGCTGCAAGAAGCTGGCCAAGCTATTCCATCACTGGAGATGTGCCAGAAAAGCAAGAGCACGAAGGATCTAGGCACGGAACATCTCAGCACTGCCATCAGTGTTCCCCTGAATATTCTCAGACAAACTGAGAAAGATGCCTTGCATGCACCGCTATGGGAGGATGAATAACGGGGAATATTCACCAATGCAAATTAAATTGACGATTAAAATCAGCCAAGCATGACGGCCACCTACCGCGTCAATGCCTTATAAGCTTCCCTTTCATTCTCATGTCTATCTCATGCTGTAACAGTGGGAACCAAATGTCAAAGTCAACTGAAGAGCGCATGGCATGATAATGAACTCCGCATCTGGCCACCTGGTCATGGCACACAAATGCCGACGGCAAGAAAGATTGAAGGACGGGGTGTGGCTGGCTGCCCACAAGGCATCCAGATATCAACAGAAGGAAAGGATGGTTTGCAGTGCAGGGGTCTGGTCACTGCAGAGAAGCGAGGACTGTGATGCTGGGGACAAGGCATCATCCGCGGACTCGGGTGCTGATGAAACTACCCTACCCCCCATGAAAGCCCATCACCCTTATCACTGGGCTTTATTAATTGATCATAGACGAGCAAGGAAAGGAGCAACCGAATCACCTTGCTTCTCGTTTACTTTGTCCAAAGGGAAATGTGGAGAACTGCAGAAACCGGGCAAGCCATATACAAGGGAGCATAACGAGGAATTCCCGAAGATTGATACACATTAGGCAATCCAAGCAGGATAAACGAAACTTGAAAGAGGCATCAGCACCATCAGCAGCTGCATGGCACAACAGTGGGAATACTCCTGCCTAGACCTGACCTGGTTCATTGGCAATGATGCGCCATAGTCACAACTATCACATGTACAGAGTGCTGTTCTATTACACAACATCGAGTGTCTGTCTGTGCTCTGCCAACTGCATTCTCTCGGTTACCACAGGCAATCTCACTCAGCGTGCCCGAAGCTTAGTTTTACCTCACCCGGCGCCCCCACTCCAAGGCATGTAAGGGCTGATTCAAGGCAGTCGGAAGGAAGGGCAGCTGGGCAAAGTGGTGGGGGAAATGGTCAAAAGGTGGGGGAACCGTGAACCTCTCAAACCGAGAAGCATGATCGTTCCGTAGTGCTGTCATAATCAAACCCAACAACGTCACACTTTCCTCTGCATATGCCAGTACCTGTGTCTGCATGTGTGTCTGTTTACATCATAACTCATCAATGTATCTATGACAGCTGCCTGCTTATCGATCACAAATTAGAAGACTTAACGTCGAACAGTCACTAGTAGCATCTCTCTGGGGGGAATAGCCCCTCTCTCGGCAAGGCAGCCAACAGGACGAGCTGGACTATCCCTGATGCACACTTCATTATACATCACCAGAAAATGTGCCTTACCGCTCACCTACAACCTACGAGGTAAGATCTCAACTATACCCTGTCCTCCCTACTCTCAAATGTCACAGTCACCAGCATATGCCACAGCATTACAACAGTCTGCAAAGTCTCGTTCAACGCACCACTTTACAAACATTCCCATTATATATAAAAATTGCCAGTCACTACATTCAACCCTCTCTCTCTCTCTCTCTCTCTCTCTCTCTCTCTCTCTCTCTCTCTCTCTCTCTCTCTCTACACACACATCAGGCCAGGTGAAACCTGGCCTGCAAACACGAGGCCTGATTGAACCCCTGCGAATCCCAGTGTGGGCAAACCAAAATCAAAAGTTGGAAATTGACGAAACTGTTCCCACGCAAAGGACATCCAGTTCAAAGTTTGAACCAAGGAACAATGGAAAAAATAAACAGAAAGGTCGTGGGTGGAAAGGGGAAAGATACTTATGGACTAGCAAACACAAAGAAAAAGTTTAATGACAGCGAGAAAAGAGTCAAAACCCAAACTAAAATGCTGGTCTTGACCGCCATGTGGAGGCCCAGTTTTGCATTATTTTGCCACCACAAGCCATCTGTCCATTTACTGTCTTCCAGTAAACAGTTTAGTGTCATTCTCTGCATCTACTTGTAGGTCTGTACGTCAGTATGTCCGTCCGTCCGTCCGTCCGTACGTACGTCCGTCCGTCAGTCAGTCAGTCCGTCCGTCTGTCTGTCTATCTGTCTGTCTGTCTGTTTGTCTGCCTGTCCATCTGTGTCTCAGTGTGTCTGTAACTCTGTCTGTCACTTTCTGTCCATCGATCAGCCCGCCTCTCTTCGAATGTCTGTCCTCATTTGGTTCATGCGACTTGACAGTGAACGGTTCATTCACAGAGTCCTCAAGAATCTTGTTACGATGATTCTCACCACTGGATTTCAGGGAGCTGAGACGTCAGCATGGCCAGCCAAGCCTTACATTCAGCAGTTCGCTTGTACCTCCCACCTTCAGAGCCTCCGGTGCTCTTGTCTGATGATTCAACGCAGGCTGTAATACAGGTGATGGATGGGGAACAAGTCGCTCCAACCCACTCGCACCTGTGACATTGTTCAGGGAACCCAGAAAACTGCTCCCTGCGCTCTGAAGCTGCCTGCTGTTCCAGTAATAGCTCAAGAATCTAGCGCATAGCAGACCACACAAAACACCATCACAATGGTTTCATTTACGTGGAAAGAGAAGTAAACACACAGCAAGTCACCAGCCAACGAAATGAACAACAATTAACATTTCCCATTGTGGAGACTGCAGTACGATTATCTCCTTGCAATAATCACACATACCGTTACCAAAAGACAAAAACAGAAGAGGGCAGTGGCAAGCCAGAAAAAAAGGACAAAAGGCAAGCCAAAAGCATGTGGCACAGGATTTGAACAGACACTGCTTATCCCTTCTATAGGCCTTTCCTAAGACCTGGAAGGTGTGGCCTGAAAGCAACTGAAACTGGCACGTATATGTAACAGGAGGACCAGCTGCGGATTTGCCCCAATAGAAACACAAAAACGAACCTTTGACAGCCGCATAAATCACAATTGTGCACGTCAAACTGCATAAGCCTGTTTACGGCAGTTTCAGCTACTCGTCATAATCCTCAAACCACGGATGCAAAAGCACATGTGTCAGGTGATGCACGAAGGGTGGAGGCAACCGACCGATGGAAACTCTCTCTCTCTCTCTCTCTCTCTCTCTCTCTCTCTCTCTCTCACACACACACACACAC